CATGCCGAAGTCTCGAGATCAGCGAAATGAGGTGTCATCTAACCGTTGCAATCTATGGATAGGGAGCCTCGTGCTTCCAGCCCTCGAAACGCCACTCGTTGCGGAGCGGTGAAGTTTGCCTCGCAGAGTTGGTTGGCGGGCGGCTACCTTGATCCCTGGCTGGCGCCCTTGGTCAGTCACGAACTCTTGTTTGGAGTATGAGCCTCTCAGAATATGGCTTCCTGCGTACCCAAAGCAGCGTGAAAAGAAGCCATCATGTGTGTCGCCAAACACATCCTTTCCGAATCCCGAAGGCGTAGAAAAAGCCTGGCGCTCCGAGGCCATGGCGGAGGCACAGACGCCAAGAATTTCCATGGCATGCAATTCAACTGGGCTGTGGTTGGTACCGAGAGGAGACGACGGCCGTGGAACTAGAAACCCTCTTCGGGATGATCACTGAAAACGGGACTCCTGTTTACCCTTGCGACTGAAATGCCTTTGTGTAGAGAGATGCAGCGTCGTGCACCGATACGATGAGCAGTCACAAGACTGCCCAGTGCGACAATAGCAGTGCCTGAAAGGCGGGCGAGGTCTGCGGGAACAAGGTCCTTGTATTTGTGCACCCATATCTGCCGCCGTTTAAGGTCGATGGCTTGGGATGCAGAGAGATCGTGATGAGTATGTATGTTGCAGTGCATGTATGTGAGTCGTTCCGTTGGCAGTAGGAGTATACTGGCGCGCCCTTTGTTCTGCCCACTTGTCCAATGCGTCTTGGTGTTCTCTCGGTTTCGACGTCTGTTTGCCCTCTCAACCAATTTGTCCGCGGCTCTGAACGAGGCAATCTTCCAGATTGATTCCAATGCGTAAGAAATGACCACACTGTACGTTGTAAGAGGCATGTCGATGACGAGGACTCCCGCGGAGAAGGAAAATTGTCGAGCTGCGGCCTGGTGACAGATCCTCCAGGTAACTCATTAGCCCGTCCCAAGCTACTGGGCCGGACAAAAGCGGCGAGATCAACCCATCAACCCATCCACCCCGCCTCCTTACAGCGACTGTGAACCCGTGGCGCTGGACGTGAAGTGGATTGATTTCGCTTGAGTTATTACCTCCAGAAGCCATGGACCAGCATCAATATGGTGCAAAGGATAACTCTGTCGTCACGCCCTATAAGGCTGGCTGGCTTGCTGCTTATAGCGGCCACGTACACGAATCAGATTTCAGGCATGTGAAGGGTAATGCGAGGCAGGCGACTTGACGATGATGACGCGTTGGCTGGCTAGGTAAGGTACCTGAAGTAGATGCACGAGGGGGGTACAACCCCCTTTCTCGCGGCAGGCAAGCACCAGCCTGGGCATGAGCAACCACAATTAGACAAAAGCTGACCATCTGCGATATGATTCCCACGCCCTCCCATCGAGCAAGGTGCCCAAAGGAAGGAAGGAAGGAAGGAAGGAAGCATAGGAAGAATTGGGGATGCCCCCGCTATTCTGGGTCGAACCTACTGGACATTGGACCAACAGCTCAGCTTGACAGGCCGTGCCTTTCCTCTCTCTCGGCACCAAACACGCCCTACCGTTGTCTCTGAGGACGTACGGTACCTAATTAGGTAGTTCCGGGACCCAACTTACAGCTCATCAGCTTCACGCTACCTATTCACTCAAACCCGCATCCTCCCAAGGAGGCTGACATGACCAGGACCTTGGGTGTTTCACCATTCGCGCCCACAACAGGGCACCCGCAAGGAGCTGGAGAGAGTCAAGGAGAGTGGTGACAGGGAATCAAAGAGACGGTCCTCCTTCTGCCAAGGTAGGTACCTGGGTGTCTACCTGGCTGTTTGTAGGGCGGCTGCCCTGGCTGGGGATTCAGTTAGGCGTTGTGGGAGGAAGGCACAACTAGCTCCGACAGGGGAGGGGGGTCGGGAGCATTGAAGAGAGCAGGCAGGGACAGGGAAAGGCATGCCGGGCAGGAGCGCGAAAGCGTGCAGGTTCAGGGGGTGCGGGTTGCGAGTGGATGCGGGAGTCCTCCCAAAAATGCCCAGTGAAGACCGGACGGGCACTAAAACTCATCGTCCGTTGAGTGGGTAGTACATCTGACTGGCTGGCATGTTCCTTGTCTAGATCCACTTAAACGCTGGCTGAGCCGTGCCGTCCGTCGCCTTCCATGTTTCTGGGAAACAGCCAGGGCTAGGAGTATCATGCCTAGCAAGACACACTTGATACCTTACGCTACTTGCCTGTTGGTCCTGACTGCCAATGGTATCAACGACATCGTGAGGTGAGGTGTCTTGAGGAAGGACAGAGCCCGTGGACCAAAGAAACAGAAGGATCTACCTAGCATGGAGACGCTCCTACCTCAGGCAGCCGATCTGCTCCCCACACCTACCTACCTCACTCATGTGGACACCGCAGGTAGTCGAGTAGCTTTCCCATTGCCCTCACCAACCTCTCTCCACTCGACTTCAATCCAATCTCGACATGGCAACATCATCCCTCAGCATCCACAGCCACATCCACAACCACGTTTACGTCCATATGCGGCCAAATACATTGTTGTGGATGATCATTAGACCAAACAAAAGATCGTTGCTGGCCTGACGCGCCTGGAATTTCCCCAGTCAAATCGGTGGCGCCAGACGTCTTCCTCGTCCAGCCAGGTCCATGTTCCTAGTGCACTAAGATTGACGCCCGCCGTGTGGACTTCATTGGACGGGGCCCAGACAACAGAGACACAGACCACCCGGCCCTGAACAAGGAGCATGGAACATGGACGGACGGGCCTCCCCTTGTGCCCTACTAGACGTTACGTCGCCGCCGACGCCGCAAGGCCATGGGATGACATGTCGGAGGCAATGGGTAAAAAACAGAGGCAGTCAGGGAAGCCATCCTAGTCTCGTCAAGGTGCAGACTAACGCAGGTCATCCGCAGTGGGCAGACGCAGATCCAGGCGCAGACACCAACGTCGACAAGCGGCGGCTGCGGCAGACAAAGCGACAAGGACACCACCTTGACTAGCCTGCTCCCCCCCCCCTTCTTTGCGTCCGTCCATCTTCTGGTCCCGAATCTGGCATCGCAATTATCGCGGGCAGGGAACCAGGGGGAAAACCCACAAATCTCAGCCTACTTTACCATACCTCGCCTGGTTCGCCCTAAGTGTGGGCAATTCCGTCCCTCCTCATGTCCCGTCGCCCGGCGTTTGAATCTGCTCAGTTCTACTCTACTTCGACTAAAGTTCGGTGCCTTATCCTAAGGTAATTACTTAACGTTGTCAGAACCCCCCGGACGATCGAGCCGATAGCCATTGCCTGCCCTGCCCACCCCCGTTCCCCGTTCCCGTTCCCGTCCCCAACGCCGAGTCTCGAATCGAGTCTCGAGTCAGGCCTGCCGCAGGTCACTTCGCCTTCGTCACCAACGCCAGCGCCTGCACAATCTCCAATTCTTGCTCCACGCCTGACCTTGCTTCAGCAAAATTCCGACAGCACTACACTCAGCCGCCAAAGCCTCCAATTGATCGACACAGGCCCAAATAGTCTACGCCTCAAGCCCGCAGCCTCGCTCCTCGCACTAGATCATTTACTTTTGAGTGCGACTTGGGCTTCTCAGCATTGCGACAACGTCTGGCCATTCCTCGAAGATTGATCTCCATTTGTCTACCTCGGAACGGATCACTCTAGATTGCTTGAGCCACAGTCAAGTAGCATTCGGATCAGCATTCGCCTGTGCCTCTCACTTTTCACGACATTGCTTCGACGCCTCGAATGGCCGTTTGGGCGGGCCAGAAAGGGTCGTGAACTCCGTCGTCACCCGCGAGCGAGATATCCCAACCTGTCAGGTAGGTGTGCCTGTCAAGCTGTTCCTCTGTGGCATGGCTACGATATCGTCCGCGCAGCACGATTGTCCTATGCCGTCACAGTCCTCCTTCGTTCTCACTCCACCCCCCTCTCGTCTCCTAGCACACCCACTCGCTGGTCGATTGGTTTTTCCCGCTTCACATGCACGGCGCAGCACAGCATGCCCCTAGTTGGCTCTGCGCTGGAGAACTTGGACAAGTCAGCCAGTTGCCTAGGCAGTCGCCACGCTCCACGCAGGTGCAGCAGGTACTGGCTTTCGGGCCAACAACGTTGCGCTCGTCTGCTGTTCACAGCTCTCTGTCAGCGCCTCAGTAGGCAGGCAGATGTGCAGAGATACACGGACCGCGACGGTTTGTCCTGTCCTGGATGTGGCTCCACGCCTCAAGTTGTTGGCCACTTTGGCGGGCTGCCTACCGACTTTGTCGTAGTCACCCTGTACGGTGTCGTGTCATATCTTGTCCCGCAACAACACATCGCAAAGGAAGAGACAGATCCCCGTCCTCACTGGGCGTTCGTGTGTGAGGTTGGGACATGGTACAAGGCCTAACTGTCCTTGGGATACAAATCAGTCAAGTTACTCTGCCCGGCCCTCTGCAAAACACACACGCTCATCCTTGCGTCCCCATGTTTTTCCTGTTGGTTGTCTCGATTCGTTCACTCTTTTATTCTCCTGTTTACCTCGCCTGGTCATCATGCCTCCGTCTACGAGGACCGTGGTCCGCCCCATAAAAAGGACCTGTGCTCGTCCTCGGAGGAGTATGTTCTACCGACATGCCTTGTCTGCAGCCTGCCAACCACCACCACCTCGCTTCTCTTACAAAACATACTTCATACGTTCTCTCTTCACCTGGAAGCCTCTGTTATTCTCCTAGAAAGAGGGCCACTTGTTTCTGTTCATTGATTTTGACTCATTGCTTGGTCTTGAGCAGTCAGGCTGACCTATTCGAAAGGTATTCCATCCTACGACCACCGACGCTTATAACCAGAGCATTGCCGCACTGTCTGAGTACCTGAACTCAACCAATTGTGGCCCTTGGTCTCGCTTCTTTCATCTGCATACCACCACAGAGCTCACCTATCACCGCATTGGAGTCTCGGTTATCCAGGCACCACACCACCGATTCTCCACTGCTGGCTTAACAACAATCGCGCGTTTCGCGTGTCAGTTATCATGTCTATCAACGGGTATTACTCTCCCTCCGCCGCACCTCCTGGCTCAGAATGTAGTTATATCGCTAACCAATCGCCGGTCATCAGCAGAAATTCAGGAACGCAAGGTCATCGGGAAAATGGTCGTGTTTATGGAGAGTTTCGCCCTGGACGTTACTTATTCCCCATCGATGAGGTGAGTCAACTTGCAAACTGGGGGTTATTCGAACACCTTGCTGACGTCGCGTATGTGCGTAGGAAGAAAAAGACAGGTTTGACGTCTTTCACCGGGTTGTGTCGTTGGCTCGGCAGAATAAGCACTTCGACAACGAGGTTCCAGACCGCGCTCGAGTTCTCGATCTCGGCACGGGCACTGGCATATGGGCAATCGATGTTTCCGAGTAAGATTCTGCTTGAATATATATTTCAAGGCGACCATATCCACTGACGACATATGCAGCGCCCTCTGGAAGGGGCCTGAGAACCACGGTCTCGTGCATGGATTAGATCTTGCTTATATTCAGCCCGCTGAGTGAGTTCGGACAACTCGCTGCAATGGCTGAAATCTCACTGGCTGACACACTCCAGCGTACCATCTACGGTGTCTTTTATGCAGGCAGATGTAGAAGAACCCTGGCCGCTGCGCGAGAATGATTACGACTTGATACATATTCAGCTTCTGATGGGTGGGATTCGGGATTGGACGGATCTCTACCGGAAGATTTTCAGGTAAGCACTGATTCGCAACCAAGGACTACTCGATCATCTACTAAAGCACCGATTAGGCATCTGAAACCTGGAGGCTATCTGGAACATGTAGAGATCGACTGGACGTTCCGGTCTGACGACAACACACTCACCTCAGACACAGCTCTGGTGGCTTGGAGCGAAGCTGTACATCGGGCGTTACGGACCTTTGGCACGCCACTGGACATCAATGACAGAATCAAGGGCGACCTCCAAGCGATAGGTTTCACGGACGTTACCGAGACAATTGTCAAGCTTCCGATCAACCCCTGGGCCGACAATAAGCATGACCAAGAGTTGGGCCGATGGTTCAATCTTGCAGCCACTCATGCCGTCAATGCTATGAGCCTAGCACCACTCACCCGAGTTGAGGGTTGGCCCGTCGAACAAGTACAGAGTCTCGGAAGCGAGGTGAAGAAGAACCTCTGTAAACTTAGCATCCATGCTTACTGCCGACTGTGAGTGGCCCCTATGCAGTTACCCGCCGAGAAGTCGAAGACACGCTAATAGTCGAGCCCAGACATGTATGGACGGCTAGGAAACCGAGCCAATGATGAGGATGAAGGGGCATGGCCCAATTACCGATCCTCGGCATGTGTTGTATTTCCACCTTTCTCAGTCAGCTTAAAAGCTTTCAGTCGACGGAGGGGGAGAGGCTTCATGTCATCCCGCGCTCGCAAACGCGTCGCGAGCAAGTGTCGGTGACCCTGTCGTTACCCTTCCGTCATTATAACACGTTGTCGATACTGGTGCTGGTGGCCGGAAACCGCACTACAGACCAGACGCCCCTAAACTGGACGAAAGCACAACAGCGATTGGGTCACCGAGCCTTTTCCATCCTCTGTATACTACCACTATCATCACCGCCTTTGCCATATATCATCGCTTTATTCGCCAATATCTCATCGTCCTTGAAATATATCCTGGTCGCCTTCGCTTCTAGGTGCGCTCTGGAAAGCGACGGAGCGCCCTACACAGTGAGGTCATCCTCCCTTTTGGCCACGACACCATTTGCTGCCTTCTAAAGCATACCGCCTGAAGGCGTCCTGCTAATTTGCGGACGACATGGAACTCTCAAATATCTGTCTGGTCTACTAGGCCAGCTTGGGGCTCGACATTGGCCAGCGACTTTGCTATAGTGAAAAGTTTCGCTGTCAGACGCAACCGCGGTCTCCAGGGATCATCTGATCCCTCGACTAGATCCCGCAGCATGTGGCTGCCCGCTTTGGTTCGGGATGTTTGCCAAGCCTAAAGCTCGTTCCGGGTAGTGGCCGTAGTCCACCTCGCCTGGCACCCGCAGTTGATGCAGCGTACAGCACAGCGCGGTACCTACCACCAAAAAGGAACGACGGTCGCAGGCATGCCTTGCGCTTTGTGTGACTGGCGCATAGGAGCTGCCTTGGATTATTGGTTTCATTATTTTTTAGTTCTCGCGTTCAGGCAGACCATCAGAGTCCTGTTCCTTTTTCTGTAGGCCGCAAAGCGTCATGTCCAGATTTCCAGAAGCAATTGGGACCACCTAGATTTCTGCTAAATTTTGGTTCTGGAGTGGGAAATCTCTCGATGCAATGATATGTGTGCATATGTAAATATTGATATCTTCTACTCATCTGGTAGGGACACTTGGAGAGCATGCGGGCGATTGGATGCTCGAAAGCAGTAGTTTTTGGCATGGGCAAAAAAGTCAAGTAGAGTTTGCTCATGTTGGTGCCATTTGCACGGCGAGCTTTCTCAATACCAATTTTGGCGCTCAATGACTGTTTCAAATCGACAGCGACTTATTTACAACTTACGTTCGGTCATTATCAGAGATTATACCCGTCAATCCGGCAGCCTAACTTTGCCTTCCGGCCCGGACACTGATCGTATGAGAGCTTCCGGCTCCCTGAGCCCTGCCAGATGGTCTTGCCTCTTGATTTCCTTCACATATTTCTCACCATTGCATTGCCTCTTTCACGATCTGACTTGGGTAGCCGACTGTAGAGTATCAGGTCGCTTGTTGAGATGTCTTGCCAGGGATGATATCACCTCGGCTATGTACCCTCGTCCTGTACTTGAACAAACGGCCAATCAAACCAGGCAGCGTTGCTTTGACGTGTACTTGTTGTTGTCCTTCCCGTACAAGTACCCTGTGCTCTCATATATAGGGGTTGCTTACGAGAATGCCTCCCTCGTCACCCTGCACGACGGCGGGTCAGAGAGGCGGCTTCGCTCACACGCGCCTTGTCACACCCCCTGGGCATCAGACCGAGGCTGCCACTCCTAGTGTGCCGTCTCCGGGCATCCCAACATTTTGCTGCGTGGGAACGAGGTCTAGGTGTGTGGCTGGCTATCGTGTGCTACCTGTCCGCTAGGTTCACGAACATGACGCAGGCAGACATTTTGCTGGCATTGTTGGGCTCGGGGCATGCGCTGTCCCCGGTTTGCCCGGCTGATACTGTGTTACCGGTACCGGTGTCCCGTTGGCGGGTCACGGAACGGTCAATGGAATGTGAGGTATCTGCCATCTCTCTGTAACTTGCCCCCTTGTTTGAAAGGTACCGGCGCACGGCGTTGTTGTCCCTTTTCTCCTTGGATACGGACCGGATAGGGGTTGGGTTTGTCATGGCGGTCCCTTCGTGGGTTTTTCCTCTCTTTCGAGGAAGGGACTATTCTCGTGTGACGATCGCCGCTGGTGGCGGCGAAACATGGCTTGCAGGTCTTCGATGAACCCATTGTCTCTGGTCTCTGTTGCCGGCCTTTCCCCCCTCCCTGCTCTCGAAGTCAAAGCCGCATCCCTGACATGATTGAGGTCGCGATGGTTGGTGTCGCCAACCCGGCAAGACGGATCGTGCTATCGACGATGGACTGGAGGGAGACCCCGACCGGTGAGTAGGCGACGCTCTTCCAGCAGGGGAGGATGCATGTCCAGCTGGCACTGCATGGGCAGAGCAGCGGTATAAGACCGTGTGACCTCTTGAATACTGGTGCTAGCGCCAACAATCTATGACTTTCGTGTGTTGTTGTTTATTTCGGCTTCGTCAAGAAAGAGGGCGGTGAGGTCAAAGTTCATGGGGGATGTGGATGGAAAGGACGTTGGTGATAGACAGCGTAGTCGGGCATGATGGCACAGTGATTCAGGGGTCTGTAGGCCGCTTGGTGGAACTGTTTGTTTGCTACCCATCTATCAATGGTGGTAACGATGACGATGTATATGTTTGTGTGTGTGTGTGGAGCTGGCCGGGTCGCGGTGTGTTGTTATTTTATGTTTTTGCGTGGCACGAGTGAAAGGGGGCCGCTTGATGGCGGCCGTACGGGGGCCTCGGGCGGCCCGTTTAGGGTACCTGAAATTGTTTTTGATCAACTGGATGGGATAAGCTGAAAGGGGTCCGGAATGAAGAAGTTGGTGCCTCATTGAAGTGCTGATCCTGTCGGTTGTTGAGAAATGATGGGTGGCTTATCGTGTATGGGCTGGTGTGTCGGACTTGATCAATGATCCTAACACGCACCGTCACCCGAGTGCAAGATGCCCGTCTTGAGGATCGACACGACGTGTCCAGCCTCTTGCGTCTTTTGCTGTGAACCAGAAAAGCATCAATTCGTGATGGTGCACATCTGTGATGTTTTGCTGTGTGAATGAGTTCAAGAGACCAAGCAGGTCTCATTAGGTCAGTTGATCTAAGCTTCAAGCTGCGTGTGCAAGACATACGGACAGGCAATTGAGGGGAGGGTCCTGGGCGTTATATGAGCGGATCCTCACATATCTACTTGGTGGCTGCTTGCTGATGCTTTGTTTAGGATGTATAGCAAGTAACTCATGAAGCAACGCATCACTAGAAAATTAGTGCTGGTCTCTGAACTTGTAGAGATGCAGAGGGCATGACCTATGCTGGAGTGAAGACATGCCATGGAGACACACTGGATGGCATGCACCATGCTTCGCGGGAAGAAGGCCGATAAAATCTCGACAGCCCTGTCGATAAACCAACACTCTCAGCACGTACAGTAGCTCTTCGGATTCGGCAAATCACAGCAACGCGTAGGCAAATACTTTCAACGAGTTCTTCCCATTCTCCCCGCCGTAGGCAGAGCAGACAGCAGCCGAGCTGCGTCCAGGTGGTGGTGTACAGGGTCTACAAAAGAAAAAAACCGATGATCATGGGAACCAACCGAGGAGCGAATCTGTCTCCCTCGGTCTATCCCTCTCTCTCTTCATCCTCATTGTTCCTGACCCGACATACGACAACAGGATCTCCGGGTGAGCCCCCATCGCCCTTGACGGCGATGAAGAACAAGGAGGCTGGATTTGCCACCCATTATGGCCGTCTATTCGAAGCTTCCGTGTATTCTTTTCCGTCGAGCTCGCTTCGCTCCCTTCTCTTCTATGTCACGCCCGCAACCCCCAATTCGCGAGACTGCGTCATGCCGATTGCAAAATAAAGGACTTTCCCTTCGCTCATCGCTAGCAAGAATGCGCTTAGTGGTGAGCGGCACCGGTCTCGCCGTGGTAGCCGACAAGCTTGAAGCGGCCGATCATCTCGCCAATGGTGAAGAAGCCGAGGCACTCGGCGGCGACGACACCGACGGTGATAAGCGTCGCCGTGTTGATGCCGCGGAGGCGCTGGGCAGCAGCAGCGGGCTGCTGAGCCGCGGACTGAGCAGCGGACTGGGCGGTCTGGGAGGCGGAGTTGAAGAGGGCGCCGGGGTTCTTGGCGGACTGGAGAGCGTTCTGGGCGTAGGACTGGAAGGTGGCGATGGGACTGTCAAGGAGTTCATGGTCAGATTCTTCGATCGCGTTCATGCTTCGGCTCATGACCTAATGGGCATGTCCTGGTCTCGCAAGCCATCAGGGAGCGAGCGCGCTTGAACTTACGGAGGAGCCATCTTCTGGCCGCGGAAGACAATCTTGGAGACCTCGAGGCCGACCTTGGAGTAGTAGACGACAAAGGGGACCTGCTTCTCGACGAAGGCGATGACACGGCCGGTGCGACCGCCGACCTTGCCGAGGGCGTTGGCGACGCCCTTGGCAGCGCCGGCGATGGCGGGGCCGGCAGAGCTGGAGACGCGGCTCAGGCCCTCAGAGGCCTTGGACTGGATGTTCGAGGCCTGCTCCTTGGCGGCATCGGCGGCCTTCTGGGTGGTGGACGACTCGAAGCGGGCGGCGATGCGCGAAGGGAGGCGGGTGTTCCTCAGGGCGGCGGACCGCAGGACGGGACGGGCGGCGACGGCAGACATTGTGGTGGTAGGCGGCAGGAGAAGGAATCAACCGAGTGCAAGAGATCGGAAGAGGCTTTCGTAACGAGATGAACGTTCGAAGGCGCGTTGGTCGGTGAAGGGGGCTCGGCGGGAGTGTCGCTGGCGGCCAATTGATGGAGATGGGCGTGGAGGTTGAGGTCGGGGGTGGTGAGGTGACGAGACGGGGCGAGCGAGGATTGGAAAAAAAGAGCTCGGAAGATTTCGCTTCAGGTTGTTCCATTGCGAGCCGGGCAAGTGGACCTCTCGCGCTCTCCTTCTCTGTCTGGTGAGTGGCTGGCACTGTGGCTCGGGCCGCTAACTGATTGGGGGAGCTAGACACAGCCAATGAGAGGGTGCCAATTCAGTGTCGGCAAGACGGGGCCCAAGCTCCTTCCACGAAGTCAATGGCAGGAAGGAATAGCCAGGCACGTAGTTTCCATTGCCGCTGCCCTTTTCACAAGCTTCTGCTTCTCTCTACAAGGTCGCAAGAAGCTTCTCTCGGCAAGGTCACAATGGCACACCGCATGCACCGTCACTGGGAGACATTGAGCACATCTCACGAGATTCATCATGATATACAGAAGATTGTGGTATTCAACACCAGGAAAGCCAGTCATGCCATCGTCACAGTCACCACCACTCAACACTTACGCCAACCAACACCTCGATGCTAATCAGTTGCCTCCTTTGCTAGAGTATCCTTCTCTCGCACCATCAATCACTCCAGGCTCTGGATCTGCACCTTGATGGCGCCCGTCTTGGGGTCCTTGGCCGTGTCGAATGCCTTGAGCGCATCCTCGAGGTTGAACCTGTGCGTGACCAGCTTGGTGAGGTCGATGACGCCGCTCTCGACGAGACGGATGGCGCGCGGCCACGTGTTGCAGTACCTGTACTGCAGCTGAATGTCAATCTCCTTGACGCTCGCGCGCATAAAGGGAATGTTGATCTCGTTCTTGCCGACACCAATGATGAAGACCTTGCCGCCAAACTTGCACGCCCAGATGGCCGTGGCGATGCTGCTCTCGACGCCCGTGCACTCGAGCGCGATGGCCGGCTCGACGCCGCCAAACGCCTGGACGATGGCCTTGGCCGAGTCCTCGGGCGTCGCACGCTCGACCTTGTGCGTGATGACCGAGGGGCAGAGCTCCTTGGCGAAAGCGAGGCGGCCCTCGTCAATGTCGGTGATGACGAGCGGCGTGGCGCCCGCGGCGCGGCAGCAGAGGAGCGTGATGAGGCCGATGGGACCGGCGCCGCAGATGAGGACGGGGTCGCCGAGGCGAACGCCAGCGCGCTGCATGCCGGCGAGGGCGACGCTCAGGGGCTCAAGCATGGCGCCGTTCTCGTACGACATGTCGCCGATCTTGTGGCACCAGACAGCGGGGTGGTTGACGTATCGCCTCAGCAGGCCGGGCACGGGAGGCGTCGAAAGGAACTCTACCTTCTCGCAGCCGTTGTAGCGCCCCGTGAGGCAGGGCTCGCAGGCGTTGCAGATGACGTTGGGCTCGATGGCGACGCGGTCGCCGACCTTGAGGTGCTCGACGCTGGGGTGCACTGCGATGACATCGCCGGCCGACTCGTGACCGAGAATGTGGTCGCCCTCGACAATCATGGGGCCGATGCAGCCATGGCACCAGAAGTGAATGTCGGAGCTGGTCGAGTCAGTCTTTTTCCCCTGGGTTTGGCATCATTTTGATCCGACTGAAGATGGAATGCGTGCTGCGACTTTTGCCGCGTACTTGGGGAAACAAAAAAAAAACTCACCCGCAGATACCGGTGCTCCTGATGGCAACCGTCACCTCTCCAACGGCAAGTCCCTCGCCAGAGTTGACTTTCTCAAGAGAGGGCTCAGCCTCGTTGATCCACAGGTCGTGCTTGGGGTTTGTGAAGACGCCAATATTGCCCTTAGACTGCTTGGCTGTGGCGCCGTTGGTGTGCCCGTTGGTGCCGTTTGTCGCCGTCATGATCGCTTTGTGTTTCTGATCGTGACTTTCTTTTTTCTCCTTCGTCTTCGTCTCGATGATGCCGATCGTGTGCTGCGTGATGGCGATGCGAACCGGACTGTCGGCCTTGGCTAGGAGGGTTTGCGATGAGATAGACGGGAGAAAGCGGCGGGAGGAGGGTTAGGTAGAGAAGCAGAGGAGCCCAGGGCTGATGAGGAGTTTGTAGGAAAGAGGTGAGGAGAAGCAGAGCTGAGCTGGCGCGATGCCGTGTGACGACGACCGAAGGAGGGGGAGGGTCAGATCTCTTGCTATATATTGGATGGGAAGGATTTGGTGACCCCTCCAACCCCTCGGTGGCCGTTTCGCCCCATCGCCGCCGACACGTCTCGTCTCGTCGTTCTCGGCGGCCATTCGCGGCGGTCCCATCGGGAATTCTCAGGACGCAGCAAAACACGGGCCAGGGTTCCCCACATCCAAAGGTCACGCAGGGTACGAAGCTTGTCAAGCTAGATGCGCTCGTAGGGGCGGAAATGGAACATGTGGGCGCGCACAAGGTGGGGGGAGGGGAGGGAAGAAGAGCAGCGCATAGTGGTACTGGCTCTCGCCCTTCTTTTGGTGCGCTTCGGTCGCTGTAAGACCGATTCCCCTTTGCAAGCGTCGAGATGGCTCTGGCGCGCCAATCACGGCGATCACAGGCCATCGCCCCGACTGCCCCGAAAGTTGGGGGGGCCATTGGCCCCGGCGCCGTGCCCAGTGAGACTCGGTCCTGAGGTGCCGCCCGGTGGGCCTCATCCTATCTGCTGCCACATTGAATTGGGTTTTTTGGTCCGCTTGGTCGTCTGCTCATCTTCGGTTGCTATTTGTGCCCATCATTTTCCCTCGCCTCGGCCTGGCTAAAATGCAGCAAGCAGCCTGCTGTGCGGCTAAAGTGTCCACATGCGAAACCGCGTGAACGATGCCATGCGCATAGAACACACAGCTCTTCCTCAAGTGGGACAAACCCACATGGGCAGGCAATGCATACTGAGACCCCGCTTGTCTGGGTCTACCGACGTCAAGATACTTCCAGGCCTCGAGGCGGGGCTCCAGCTTTTATTCCTTGTGGACATATCAGACGCCGCCTCTTTCGCCATTCTCCTTGGCTTACATGTTCCTGTGCACAGCAAAAGACGAGGCGGCTCTTGTTGGTTGGCGCCGGATGGATTCCTGGTGCTAAAGCAGGTCATGGCGATCTTGGCTGTGGCTGGCAGGCGACAACCCTTTTCCCGTTGCAGTCCCAGTCCAGACTGCGACCCCCCGCGTTTTGACGAGACGCTGATGTTGGAACTGCGTAGGATCTGGTAAGGATCGTAGCTTCGAGCCTGCCCATCCCAGCCTCGGCAGTTGCCCTGGGCATTCGGAGATGCAAAGAGTGCACGAGCTCCGGGCGGCGTGATGCGGATTACTGGAACTCGGGTTTGTGGCTTGTTCATGCATTGTCCATTGAATCTTGAATCAAGAATGGATGGAGGCTGAGCGACGTTGGGGTTGGGGTGTTTGGGCTTTGGAGTGCCGAAGTTTCTCCCGACGCAAAAACATCGGGGCCTCGCCATGGTGGTGCGGTGCTCTGGCAGTCAATGGCCCGCCCACCCAACAGCCAGCCACTAGCCACTGGCTCGCCTAACAGTCCTGCCCAGACCTCTAAGGAGGCGCTCAGTAGCAGGCACCCTCAGGGGCCCAAGACACTGGCGGGTAGCGCTTAGAGGGAAGAATGCCCAGCGGCCGGGCTGGTCCCCTGCGCAAGCGCCATCCCTTGTCAGGTCAAGTCGGTCAGGAAACAATCGTCACTGGACCCTGACCCCGGACAGACATGGACCTGGACCTCGACCTGGACCTCGACCCAAGCTTGGACCTGGACTGCAACTTGGACTCCAGCATTTCGACATCATCCTCGCTTCAACCTTGACGTCGCCGTTGCACCCGACCCGCGCACCCACCCGCACACCACCACGAACCCCTCGTCCTCGCAAGCAGACCCCTCCAGCGACATCGAGGCCCGTCCTCCTGCAGCCCCGAACCCACGAATCCGACCCAATGCCTCGCTCGGCGCCAGCTGCACGCTAGCCTCCCTCTCTCCTCCTCTCTTCTGGCCTTTTTTTTTTTTTTGTTTTTAAATCTAAATGCCCTCCTTCTTCCCCTTCACCCCGGGCCAGGAGTCTCGCGCCCGCTTCCAGCCCGAATCCTCCCCACTCCTCGGTCGCTTCCGAGCCGTTCCGCCTTCCACCGCCCGGAGGCCCTCTCATGGCGCGCTAGGCCTGTTGTCTTCGGCCCTCGGGAACGGCCGAGGGAGCGTCCATGTCGGCTACGGCGCCGTCTTGGCGGCCGGCCTCGATGATGACGACGACGACGACGACGATGATGTGCAGGCGGCGCTTGATGACGCGCACAACGAGGGCAGGGGGTGGTGGAGGAGGCTATGGAGGAAGACGGTGGATGTTTGGATCGAGCCGAAGCAGGGCGCCGTGAGGAGGGTGGTCGATGTTTGGTGGAGTCGATATGGTGTTTTGGTCGTGCTGCCGGCCGTCCTGGTACGTCCACGAGACGAGATGTCGGAGAGGTGAAGCAAACTCTGGTTACAATGCTGACCACGTACAGGCCATCGGATGGTGTGCCCTTCCCTTCCCGCAGTATCCCCTCCTCGACGACGGCGACGGCAACGATCACCACGGCGGCGACGGCGTCCCCTCTGATGCCCCCACGCGCAAGACACCCGGCCACGGCCAGCCTCGCGTGCGCGTCAACTTTTGGTTCTTCCTCTTCGTCTACTACAATTTCTACAACCTGACCGCCCTCATATGGATCACAAAAGTCTTCAACCTCTACAGCCTCAACTGGTGGCCCCAGTCTCTTGGCTTCCTGCCCACCGTCTCACTCATAGCCACCCTCGCCCTCGTACTCCCGATCCCCATCTACCTCCGCCCCGAGACGCGCTTCCTCACCGTCCACAACACCTCGTGGATCGCCTGGACCTTCATCGTCATGGCTGCCCCCGTCGCCATCGCCTTCCTCATCCTCACAACGTCCCAGCGCCACCACCTGGGCCTCCGCAACCGCATGTCCGACACGCAGCGCATCTTCACGACCTCTTGGTGGACCGGCGGCGACCTCGGCGGCGCCACCCCTCCTCGTCGCGTTCTAGCCGGCCCCGCCCCTGACGCGCATGGCAGCCAGCAGGGCCGCCGCGGGCGGCAGACCCAGCAGCGTCAACACCAGCAGCCGCTGCTGGCCCGTCTGCGAGCCCGCTGGCTTCCCGCCAGCTTTGTGCGCTTCGTCTGGTTCTGCCTCGCGCTCCTCGTCGGCCTCATGGCGTACGTCATAGGAGAGGCGTACGCTGAGATATACCTCCGCACGCTGCCTCACGACAACCTCGAGACCATCATGTACGTCTACAGCTGGGTCGTCACCGTGCACCTGCTCGACCTGTTGACGGGCTGGCTGCTCGGCATACGCGAGGGCGAGCGCGTCGGGAGCTACCCGCTGAGCTGGATCTTCAAGCTGTGAGATGTGTCCCCTGCCGCCCCCCCCAGATC